AAATTGTATGAGGCGAGGCCATACTGTTAATTTACAAATACATAACGGATGCTCTCAGTTCAAGTTAAGCAAATGAAGGAGTAATATGGGGATTTTTACCTTAAGGACTGCTACAAACTGTTCTGAAAATGTTCACTCTTAAGCAGTAGCCGATTCACCGTAGAAGCTTTCAACAACAGCAGCTTTCCAGGCGGCTTTCCGGTAATTAAAATAGATAAATTGAACAAGGATCTAGAAAGGTGGTTAAGTGTCTCAAGCAGAAAAAAATATACAGAAGTGCAAAAGAGTAAAATGTCAACAATGTTTTTTTTTTTTTTTTTCTCATTTCAAATGATAAGAATTATTAATAGAACTGTTAAATAGAAGTGAACAGAAAGAAAATGCTGAGGTTTGGAGATGATAAAAAAAATGCAACAAAAACTTAAACCAAAGGAATTGGCTAAAAATTAGAAATATTGCTAGCCTTCGAATGTTCAATGAGAATGCTAATGAGTAGCTGCTGAAAAAGGTCGCACATATCTGAGGGGTTGTTTGGTATCAATTGTCTTTTTTTCTTAGTTTGATTTTAAAAAATTACGTTTGTACAAAATGGATTTTTAGTCATTTTAATTACTTATTTATTGTTTAAAAGAAACATCATCATCAGTCAGTCATCACATCTGCCGCCACCGAAGGCCATTGCCGCGGCTACTATGACCAACCACCACCATTGACCACCTTTTTGTCACCATCACCAGCCATCACTGGTGACTACTGTCGATGGCAGTCAACGCCAACCCTCCAACCACCAACCACCAACCACCACCTACAAACATTTTAACTATCGTTGACCAACATTGTTAATCGCCGCCACCACCACAAAAATTAAGTTATTATGTATTCAATAAATATAAAACAATCTATATTTTAAAAAAACAGTATACACTAAACAAAATAATTAAAGGGACCTAACATATTTTTATTTTATGTCAGAATATAAACAAAATATAATTAAAAAAAAGGAAAAAAAAAAAAATCAAGTGATCACAAGCAGCTTCCAAGTTCTGGCACATTAACTTTAGATTTTTTATATAATATTTATGCTATTATGAACTGTCATTCTGCCTTCCAAATCCAGAGCCCCGCTACCCCTTTACCAGCAAAAAACAAAACTTAAAAGTATTAGAATACCAAAGTAGCACCTTTGTTTTATTAAATGAAAAATGCAACTAACTAATAGATGTGCGTCGAAGTCCAAAAATATTTTTGTCATACAAAACATGAAAACTTGAATTAGGCAATCAAAGTCTGAATCTCTTAGCAGATACTGGGCAGTGAATGCATTAAAAAGCACTTCAATAAACTTCAAGTCTTACCAATTATGTTTAGGATATAAATATAAACGATGATTTTATGCCATCTATCATTGGATGTATATTGTCTGTTGTTTTTCTGACTATCTGGTCCAATTGCTTGGAACTTTTAAGGTGGAAATTCATGATCGGATATTGAAATTAATAAAAATTTCAATTTATTTCACTAACAATAAAAAAACAAATAAATCAAAAGAGTAACTAATGAAAATAAGTTAAATTGAGTAAAAGCTCAAAATAGTCCCCTCACTATTAACAAGTGTCCAATTTAGTCCTAGAGTTTAAGATGCTCAAATTTAGTACCAGACTATTAAAAGTTGCTCCAAATTGATCTTAAATTATATTTTCCATTAAATTTAACGGTAGCCTGCATGAATTAAAGGATATTTTCATCTTTTATGTAATTATTCATAACTATATCCCGCATAAAAATTACTATATATGTTGTTTAGTTGGATTTAGGTTAAATCTTGCTTAAATCTTATTAAAAACAGCTCATACACGATTAAAAGCAAACATTACAAAATCTGAAATCACATTTCTCTACCATTTTCTGCTTTTAAATCTAATTAAATAATTTATTTTGCCACATATATTATATTTTTCTTTATCGACGAATTACTCCCATCTATAAACTACAATGTCATATTTACCAGACTAGAGTCATAGTTTCTCCGGGTCGAAACAACGCAAATTGAAGCCACCTCTCTTTACAATGAACAATGGTTGAGGGGGATGTGCAAGCGATCATATGAAGATGAAGCCTTGTCATCAACACAAGCAACGCGGATGGAGATGGATGCAGAGACTGCTCCATCAAGTGGAGAAGCAACGAATGAGTAATCACATTGAGTTACTTGCTCTATCGATGATAAAATAGAAGGAGAGAAGCCGCGCTCGGATGGAGACGAAGCATTGTAATCGACACAAGAATGCAGATGGAAATGGAGACTGAGACTGATTCATCGAGTGGAGAAGCAACAAATGAGTACGTGTGAAACAGAAGGGGAGAAGATGCAAGAATGGAGCAGCGAAGATTTAGGTTTAAGGTGAGACTGTTATGCATATGAATTTTCCAGTTAGAACTGGCGAGCCCTTCGTGTGTTTAATTCGTGAATTTGTAAATAGATGAAATTACCCTCCAAAATGTGAAAGGAGCTATTAAATAAATGGAAAATTTTATTTAAGACCAGTTCAGAATAATTTTTAATAGTTGGAGACTAAATTAAAACATTTTAAAACTTGAGGACCGAATTGAACCCTTGTTAATATTTGGGGGACTATTTTCAGCTTTTTCTCAATTTAAATTAAAAGCTAAAATTAGTTGTGAATAAAATTACATTTATCAATAACTTCATGAATGTTCATATCTCAAAACTAAAACAACATAGCAGAAAATAAAATATATATGCTAGCCGGACATAACAAATTATTCTAAAAATAAAAGGCATTTTATTATTCAATTATCACCATTCAATAAGATTTAGAATTTTCATGGTACAATGAAATATATTATTTTATCTATATCATATAAATCTATCTAAATATAGCCTAGCACACCCCAAAAACAATCCTACTATTGTTTGAGGTGGAGAGACACCTCCTTACCCTCGGCAGATACATCTCCAATCAGTACAGCAGGGCATAGTCTTATTTCCACTTTTGTCAGAGGTAACAAATAAAATGTCAATGCGTACGAGCAAATTTAGAGTGCGCAACTAATACCATAACGAAGTGAACTTCATCAGTTAACATTAATACAGACATACTACTTAAATAAGTTCAATCACTTTTTCATTTAATAGAACATTAGTGCACAATAATCCAATATATATATATATATATATATATATCAATTTAAAAATCCTAAAAAAACCTACGCAGCTTCATTTCAAAAGTCATCTAACAGAACAGATAAATCCAAAAAAATTAATATTCAATAACATTTAATTGAATAAATATCAAAATAAATTGATGGAAGACTGATGGAAGAAAAAAGGTTTGCTAGTTTTCAACAATCTTACACCTTTTTAGATTGATGGAAGAAAAAAATATTATTACAGTTTGCTAGTTTTCAACAATCTTACACCTTTTTAGACATGCCTCCTAAAATTTGATGCCTATAATAGCATAAAAACAAAAATTTTAATTATATTATTTAGTTATGCTCAATTAATATTTTAATTAATTATATTAATTTAACCATTTGTTGAAATCCTTCATTTTAATTATATACATCACATGAACTTTAACGATTAATATCAGACTTTTATCCATACATAGAACTTACATAAATTTTTCCTTACATTTTGTTTTTTTAATCAGTATAAATCCTATTTAATTTATATAAAATAATATTTAATATTTTGCTAATTATTATCACAATTATTGATAAATTATTACAATTGTATCATTAAGCTTCTATCAATTACTATCATAATCTTGTTTTAGTTATACCTTTCTATTATCATTTATACACATATGAGCGCGTTAATTATTAAAATTTCTTCTTTAGAAAGTTTTGTCATTGAACACAATAATCATATTTTATTTCAACAACTGTTGATAATAATTAAACTTAAATATTTATTTATTTTTTCTATTAAATGACCGATTCATTGCTAGTATTTACTTTCTAATTAAATATTCATCGTTATAAAATGATTTTACAAAGGACAAATTTTTTTAAATTCTGAATTATATTAAGATGTCATCCTAAAATTTCTCAATTTTCTAATTTGTTTCATTTATATACACAACTTAAAAATTAAATAAAATTTACCTTAAAATTAATATATAAAACCTTTTAACCCTACTCTTCTTTGGCGCATAAAAGGCCTTTGTCGATTGGTTCTGATGCACGATTCGATCCTTCTCTCACAATCACAGTTCTATTAATGTTTCCGACGTCAAGTTCGATTGCCGCAATGGCATGCACTTACTCTAGCTTACGTTTGCCCTTAATTGTTCTTTCACCCCAAACACAACCGTAAGAGACTCGAGATTGCACAAATTTACTCAACGCAAATATCGACTTAGCCTCAACACCTCCACAGGACGTTCTTCACTCGCAGCTAATGTAGCTACTCTCATATGTATAATCATAAGAAACTTCTACATACATAAATGAACTAATGAGTGACCAAACAAAATAAGAGAAATGCAAAGTTAGAGAAAATATGAAAGTTAAAAATTGTAAGGCAAACAATCTTCAATGGAGCTTAATGTGAACACTAAACAAATTACATGGAACTTTTAAAAACCTGAACACTAGCTAAGAACGCGAGCAAAGTCTCCACTTGGAGTGGCCAAAATCTAAAAATGAGTGAATAGGAATATTGAAAATGAATAAAAAACGACACACTATTTATATTAACAGATTGGATTCTCTGTGGGGTCATTCTCACTAAATTCCTAATAATATAAAGACAAAAAAGAAAATGACATCCACTAAAATTCAAGCATACAAGGTAAAATATCATTCCATTATATACTTGCAAGATTCCAATCCTTCCCCTACTCACCACAAGATCCGCAACACATATCTAAAGGCAGATAACATATGAACTTTGACGAATTAAAAAAGATGCAAACTTTCTAATGTCCAAAATGCTCATGTAAGTATTCAAACTCTAGAAGATTTCAAGATTTGTAATCTCTTTTGAGGTCATTTTCAACTCTTATGTCACTTAACATACGTGAAGACCTATACACACCTTTTATATAGATAGGGGTAAACACGTACGTACAATGACAATGTTGCAATTTTCAGCTATCCCCGCCTTACAGGCGAGTGAAAAAACCTATTATTTCTGATATAGCCCAATGACAATGTTGCAATTTCCGGCTATCCCCGCCTTATAGGCGAGTGAAAAAACCTATTATTTCTGATATAGCCTCCTACATGGAGACAATGTCGGGAGCATGCCAAATTTTAGAATAACAAGGAACTTAAAAACAATCATAAAGAAACTTATACGTACTTAATGAACTAATAAGCAACCAAATGAAAGAAGTAAAATGCAAAGTTAAAGACAAATTAAACACTCAAAAATACAATACAATTATCCTCGAATGGAGCTTGAAATGACACTAAACAGGACTTATAGGAAACTAATCTGAAGAACTTGAAGACTCACTAAGAACGGGAGCAAAATCAATCTCAAGCAAACACTCCAAATGCCCAAAACTTTGAAGTGAATGATTATAAAGAGTAAAAATGAACAATAGATGGTCACCTGTTCATAATAAGAAATTGAACTCTCTTTGGGGCATATCTCACTAAAAAAGTCATATAAAGACAAAAGAGAGATGTCATTCACTAAAATCCAAGCATACAAGACAAATTATCGTTTCATTATTTACTTGCAATATTTCAATTCATCCACTACTCCTCACCGCACACAAAAGGCAAACTATGGAGAATTAAAAATGAAATCTTGCACACGTTCTAATATCCAAAATACTAATGTAAATTCTAGATGATTTCAGAACTTATACATTTCTTGGGATCATTTTTAACTCAGATGTACTGCCTCAAAGAACATATATGTGCTTAAAGATTTGCGCAAGTGTCTCAAACAAAAATACAATTAACCAATTTAAAATACCAAAATGTGCTCTGACCAATGTACACGATGTATAAATACTCAATTTGATGATGGTGAAAAAAACGATATTAACCTAAGCTCACATAGAGCTAATATTGAATTAAGTATAAAATTACATCAACACTCAAAATAAAATCTATAAGAATGTAGCATGAGTCATCTATCAGTGTCAATCAACATTACAAATAAAGAGATTATGATCATAGCCCTCTAACCGAATAGTTTGGTCAGACAAACTCCACCATATTATGATCAAAAAAGTTCATTGATCAATGATTCTCCCCTTTGAATTGCGCATTATAGATTATACTTAATAGGATACAAAACCATCTATTAGCTAGGATCAACTTAGATTTGTCCCCTTAGAAAAGAATTCACCCTGGATCTACAAGATCTTCTTGGGAAAAATAACCCATGACTACCAATATGGACCTTCGGTCAAGTTGTATTGGCCACCTCCTTTGACAAGTAGGTCAATGACCATAACAATTCAGAACATTAGAACTATGAAATCTTAATTGCTTCGTCATCATTCACCATATCATTCGCTCTTAACCTCACCGTAATAAATTTCGATACATTGCTACCAAATTTTAGTCTGAACACTGGCACCTAATGACTAACATTAATCTGAAGTACTTTCCCATTATCGCGAGGGATCATTACCATAGAAGCTTGTGCCTCTAAAATATCTCAAATCTCGGATCATAAAACCCTAATAAATGAGGGTGAAATCTCTGTGTAATGTCTTATCTACTATTTGAACCTCACATAAAACATCTCCAATTATATTTGGATCAGGTTGGGACATGAATTTTTTGAGCCCACAATCTCAAATTCGTATGTTTTGGTCCTTTCTTCCTCAACTAATGCTCTCTATCTCAAGCTCATCAATCATATTGCTCGATCTCACATCGACACAAGGTCTTGTCACTATCTTGCTCATGATCTTCACTTGCCAACTTCTCATTCAATCTTTCTAAGTTGCACAAACCTCCTCCCGCTCGTCTCCCCTCCTAATATTAAGAACCTCTAGCATCAGTTTGGCTAAATCGATGCTAGTCGATTTCATGGCATTATAGTGCAATACCCTTGCAAACTTTACATGTGAAGTGGTAGCATGTGCATTGGTTCATATTGGAGCATGCACATCTGCAATTAAGTAGAGAGAAGGGTGCATATATGTAATCAATCACAACTACTTTGAGGTACTGTACTAATGCATAGCTTAGTTTAGAGGCAGTTTTGGATCATCTTTATTTTTTTATTTTTTTATTTTTATTTTTATTTATTTTGTATATATTTTAATTTAAAGTAAAATATGTTTACTAAAAAGCTTGAAAACACTTAAAGACTATTTACTGCTCTTAAAAATCTGCTCACTTATCTTTAAAAATAAAAAAAATGTGAAAAGTACACTAAACAAACATATTTTTAATAACAAAAAAGGAAAAAAAATAATTTCCACAGACTCTTAGTTAATTCAAGTGCAATATAAAATCAAGCCTGCAAAATAAATCGGATCAGCTTGGCCACATTCACATTACTTTTTGCGAAGGAAATGCACTATAATGTAAAACAATTTCACCAACTTTACAGACAAACAAACATAAGAAATTTATTCTCATCAATAATTGCTTTGCATCAAATTTTCCCTCAACATAATGGCGACTGAAAGAATAATTAGCTAAATTCATGGGGTACCTTCATGTCAGAACAAAAATATCTGTCAATAGGAAGAGGAAGAGCGGAAAAGGATACAAAAGCATCAAGAAGCACGCATCCTCCAGCATCAACTAACCATGGTAGATTGGGTCTGATCGCAGACCATTCTAAGCTGTTTGCAAGTATACTGGATAAAAGAAAATTGAGGCATAAATTAGTATGAATATAAGAATTTTAATTACCAGGGAAATCAAACAAGACCACATACCTCCCAACATATGTTGAATTTCCCACAAGGGCGAATATAAACATAAAGGGACTTAAACCCTGCAAACAGAAGAGTGGATCAAAAATAGCCTAAAGAATAAATAAAGTCATATCTATTTGAACAAAAAAATCATGAAAACTTCTTGTTCATGAGCAAGCGGAGATAAGATATTTCAGTAAATAATAAATCCAGAGAACTCTGTAAAGTGAAAGACCAAGAAATTCAGATTTATGCATCATCAACTCAAACGAGTTACTTGGCACAATCTGAATTTATCTTTGGATCTCAAAGTTACAAAGAGTGCAATCAGTTAGCTGTTTATGCACTTCGGAAAAATAAGAATGAGGTAAGGAAAAATAACTTGCCTCAACATTTCCTCGTCTAATCTGCAAAAAAATTCAGAATGTAAGAATTCCTGAATTATTGTTCAACAATTTTTATGGTAGATGATAAATTTGTAAGCATTCTAACAACAAACTTTAAGACCACGCAAAATTCTTAAATAATCAGATTCCCTTCATAAAATTTCTTTATTCCAGTTAACTAATTCTACAAATCTGACGGACAAGAGAAGGTAAAAACCAGTTCATCAGGCATCGTTATCTCACATTCAACCAGATCTGAGGAAGTCTGCCACCCATATAAATGGCTGCCATTGCCCAACCTAAGAAAGTTCCTATTCCACTGCCTTCAAAATGCTCGCCAAGCAATGATTCCACTGCATAGTGCTGTGGGAGAAAAATATAACAATCAAATAATCATCTATAGTATGATGAGTGAAAAACAAGTAATTAAGAAACAAATAGGAACAACATTTTGATCAACAAATTCTAGCAAAAAAAAAGTTGTTCCAATCTTTCAAAATCTCAGTTTATGCTAACCTGCAAAAGTTTTCTGCCAACTGGAATCACCAATCCCTGCGGTTTTGTATCAAATACACTATTTGATGGAAGTTTTAGAACATAGATACCAAGGAAAAAGGCAGCTGAAGAAACCTGAAAAACATAGAAGTAAACAAAAAAACTCCGAGGTTTTTGAGATCACTTTTACCATTTTATTTTTATTTTAGGTATTTGTTTCATTTTGTTTATGTTTTGTTTTGAAACCAAAACATATTTTGTCATGTTAAAAGAAAATCAACTTGTTTTTAAATATATTAAAAAAAAACTAAAAGGTATTTGGGGTAATTTTAAGAATAAGTTGATTTGTTTTAAGACTAAAAACAAAAAAATGTAAAAGACAAGTAAAAGCGCACCACACAAAGCGTATTTTTAACGACCAAAGGTTGTGCATCATGTGGAGAAGACGGACTGCAAAGCAAGGGTTCTGAAGATGAATCCACATCGTCAGTGAGAATATTTGGCATTCCATTTGGAGGTGTTTTGTATGGATCTCGAACATGTGTCAACCATGAGCCTAAATTGGGCATTGGACTTGTTGACAAAGAACGCGCTGACCTTAAAAATTTTATGACAAGGTTTAGAACAAATTAGTGAGATCCAGGGATACTAGCTAGCATAGTTGGTCAAGATTATAGCATTGAATTTCTTCTACAAAAAATCTTTGATACTTACATTCATAACACTCAAATCCTTAACATCACATCAACATCAAAAATACTACTTTTACTAACTTTTTAAAAATCCAGTGCACCTTTTTATGTATAGGTTTATAACACCAATGTATTATGAATGTAAATATCAAACTTTTGATGTTTAGATATGTAAATCCATAAGAATTGTGTGGTACGTATGCAAATTTCCCTAAAATTGATGTATTAGAAAAATAAAGGAAAAGTAGAAAAACGCAATGAATAGCATCAAGGTTGGTTGATATTGTCATGCTATAGTTCTTATCAACGAAGGCACGAAGAATTAAATTGGCTATGTTTAGCAGCAAAATAGTAGATAAAAAGATGATTACTGGGTATTATTAAAACCAATGTAGTGAATGCAGAAGTGCGAAAGAATGAACATTAGGTTTACTCCATACATTAAGAAGCCTCTTAGAGAAAAGAAAATTAAGAAGGGATGGAAGAAAGGAAGGTGCCAACAAGCATGCTAAGCCACCATGAACAATAGATTAGATGTCCTCCTGTAAATTAGGATAGGAGATCACAAAAAAACAAAGAAGCAATTACATAACTCTTATATATTTATATATCTAATATCTAAACTTACATATTTACATTCGTAACACTGAAACCTTTGACATCACATCAAAAACACCACTAAAACTATATATTTTAAAGTGAAAAACACCTTTCATGCATAGGTTTTTAATACCAAGGTGTTATAATGTAAATATCAAACTCTAGGTGTTAGTTATGTACATGCATAAGAATTATGTGGTATGTTTGTAAATTTCCCAAAAATAAATCATGAATTACATAAATACCTATAATACAAGTCTCTCCCAGTGGAACCGTAGCTAACAATTGGACTAGCTACAGAAATTGGTGAGCTTGGCACATTAAATCCTGCCAGTAAAGAGTTAGAACCTTTATATTCATGCAATTTCGACTCTTTCTCATCACTGTTCTTCCCTATGAGCTTCTCCTTTGTATTGTACTCAATCTCGTCAGTCTGCAATTAGATGCCACATGAAAATCGGAGAAATACACTGTAACTTTATCAAATAAGTCCTCATAAAAAAGCATTTAGCATGAGATAGTGGCTGGAGAAAGAATACAAATCTCATCCAAAACTTTCAAAAAATGATGCATCCTTTGAAAATTCTAAAGGAATAATGTTCGATCAACAAGAACCAAACTGCAAGCTAAAGGTTAAAAATTAGAAATCATAGAAAATAAATGACTTGCATTTGCAGCGTTAGAGGAACACTGCATGAAAATCGTATCATTCAAGCAGACTAAATGATGCGAGCACTCTTACTTCTAAATTATAGCAGTTAAACTTCTTCTAAACCAAATGTATGAATAGTTATTGAAACTTGATTAATACAATCATAAAATTTATTTTGATTAAACCGCTCTTTACTCGCCATATCAATATTTCAAGTTTTTCAATGTGATAAGTTTTATGCATTTATATTATATGTTGAATGATATAAAAATGTGATTGATATAGACTATATAGAATAATTAAATGTGTATTTTGAACATAATGGACTTTACTCATTCATGGTACTAGTTAGAGATGATAAGATACTCGTACACATATATTAGAAAATGTTACTAATGTTGATGTACATTTATCGGCACAAACGTTAGACGGTGTTCCTGTGACGGTTGTAAATAATAAGATATAGGAAAGATAATATTATATATATTCAATAATAGAATCATATGAACTTTCTTGAATGCCAATAGTTGATAAAAAAATTTCATTTATTTTCTAATAATTTATTTTCTACGACTAGCATTTATATTGTTTCATCGAATATTATGTTACTGCAATTTAGAAGTAGAAATATTCACTGGCTATTAATAGCTCAGTATGTTTTAAATTAAATTTTTTTGGTTTAAAATTTTAATTAAAAGATGAGTGATAGAGAAAAACCATGCATAGAAGACGATGTCAACAAATAGAAAGGTAAAATTATAACTGTCTTAATTTAATTTTTTTTTTTCACTAGTCATTCCCTTAATTATTTTCATGTGATTAACTATTAGTGATAAAAAATAAAAATTAGAAAATTTTAATTTCATTTTTTGGGTTCGTTTATGCTTGGAAATTCTAAGCCCCTGAGCTAGGTCATGACAGAGAGAGTTCGAAGCATGATTTTTTGGAGCCCACGATTATATCAGAATAGAGTTATAGTTTTATTTTGTGAGGCAGAGCGGTGGAAATTTGAAATCATGGCCTATGAATCCTTGGAAGGAAAAGAGAAGTTAGGGATTTCTAAGGAAAGACTAAAATTCATTGGCCTAGGTTTTGTATGCTTCTTGGTCTTAAATTTAGATTTTTCATGGAGACTGAAATCTTGTTGATGGATTCTAGGATATGTAAAAGGAAAGGAGAGATGAGGAATGACGAAAGAATATGACTAAGCAGTTAACAAAAACAAAAATTAAAATAATACAATTCTCACCTAAAAAATTGTGTTGGTTTGGCCACAAAGCCAAAAAAACTGAGAGACAAAAACTTCGGTTCAAATTCACACAAAAATAGTTCCTCACATCAATAGAAATCACTTATAAATTACATCAAATTCAATACTAAGCTTTGAAGAATTCAAATTTCAAATGGAGATGGATAGAATGATGACTTGCACCGTGGAAGACGTGTTGAAGTGTTTTGATTCATGATTCATGTCTTCAAATATGCCTTTTTATGAAGACTGAAATCTTGTTGGTGGATTCTAGGGTTTGTAAAAGAGAGGGAGAAATGAGGTATGATGAAAGAATATAACTAAGCAGTTAACATTAACAAAAATTAAAATAAAACAATTCTCACCTAAGAAATTGTGTTGGTTAGGCCACAAAGCCAAAAAAACTGAGAGACGAGAACTTTGGTCCAAATTAAAACAAAAATAGTTCCTTACATCAATAGAAATCACTTATAAATTGCATCAAGTTCCATACTAAGCTTTGAAGAATTTAAAATTCAAATGGAGAGGGATAGAATGATGATTTGCACTGTGAAAGACCTGTTGAAGTGCTTTGATTCATGATTCATGTCTTGAATATGCCTCCTTTGGATTTGAACTTAGAATATCATCCACTTTACGCTTGGGAGAATATGGATCCATCAACCACCTTTCAACTACCCCACAACCAATGCCCAACTAATTTTTTTTTCACGAAATGTGAGCCCAAAGAACAATATATGTAATTTGAACCCGTGACCTCACAATGGGATACTACAACTTTAACCACTATGCCGCGGATAAGTACGCCCAACTACTTTTTAGATTTAAATTTTCAAATTTAATATTACAATGATGATTGAAACATTTCGTGCAAATAACCAGATTTGACAAGATCTTTGAGCTTTGTTGGCTTTGAAAATACTCATGACATGTTGAGTCACACCGGAAGGCTTATCGCAACAAATTTTATCAATGTAAATAAGAAAATAAACTAAAACTAGCATATTTTCGTAACAAATAATCAATCCATGATACTTTAACTCATACAATCAATAGCTAATGTTGTGAGATATGTACTTCCTCACATAGAAATGAGACGAAAAAAGAACACAAGCAAACTGGATTTTATCATTAAACTTAAGGGTGTTTAGTGGCTCCTTTTTAATATATCTATTGTCGGAATTACTAAATCCAATCAAACACTATAAAGCAGGAGTTTCATAGATTTATGTGCTTTCGGATTTGGGGACCCAAATTTTGCCTTCGATTTGGCTTAAATCCGGAGTCACTAAATTTAGGGGTAGGGTGGATTTAAACAGATATACAATTTATGGACTAAATCTTACTAACGCTAAATCCTACTTGCAGCCAAACAACCCCTTAAAATAAATATGAAAACTTGTTAATTTTTATTAGATTCCAATTTAATATTAATAATAATACATCTCACGAGATTCTAAGGAATTACAATAATACAACATCAAATTACTTGTTTATTAATTAAATTCATGAATATTACCTTTTAAATCAATATTTAATCCCTACTTGAATATTTAGTTACTTATATATGACAATTAGAACATGCTTACAGTAAAATTAGAGCAAGGAGCGTCTTTATTATCCTTGTTATAGATGGATATGCCCCTTGGATGTACTATTTAAGTTTTAGTATTTTGATGACAAGACAGTTTTGCAAAATATGTATGAGCCTCTTAGCAGCAACGAATTTCAATATTTACTCAAAAACTAAAAAAAAAAAAAACGTAAAACAAGTTGAAAAACATGTTCAATTGATGCAACCGTATGAGTTGTTATCCCTTCTTTTTAATTAAGCCTTAAACTATATCTAAATCTAGAAAGTATTATCAAGGATCTTTCACTATTTCAAAACGCATCCAACATTTAAATTTATTCATGCATTCAGTAAAAAGTTATTCATTCTTTTAAAAAATTAGAATAATCAAGCAAAGAGTCGCTGCATGAGAATGGCAGATATAATTTTCCATATATTCAATTTTAATTTGGAGCAAAGTTCCTATAAGTTCCCTAGCAAGACTTTCCCGTTGTTTTTATACACATAAAGAACATGTCTCAGCATATCCAATTAATTTTAACTTAGCAAATCAGTAGACATCGTATTTCATTCAAAAATGTTATTCATATTTATAACCAATTACTTGAGAGATATTTTCATAGAACCATTAGTATAAAAAACAAAACCAAAAGTCTACAAATAGAAAGTGCATAAAGGTCGCAAGAATAAAGATAGACACGGCAAACTCAATAAAGCCATAGAGTAAGGATCACAGTTGGGATGAAATTCTCTTGATAGAACAATATCATAGGCATGTGCATACGAACTCTAACATACATTACCAACTTCTAGAAAAATGAAATAAACATACACAAGTTAAAAAAAAAAAAAATCAAAATTCAGAAACTTTCAGACTATTTATTTTAACATATGTATTTAGTGCTTTACATGATGGCAGTTTTTGAGATTCACATCAGATAATTAACAAGTTTCAGCGGTCCATATGCTAAAAAGAGTCAACAGACATAGGAAGGTATTAAGGATCATATCTTTTTATGGGTTATACATTGAAATTTTAATATTTTCTCAAGTTTTATGAAGAAACTAGAAAATGTAAAGTTGATATGGATTGTTGAAATTGACGTAAAAGAGCAACCTCGACTCTTAAAGAACTAAACTTATCAAGTTGGCTCTTTATAAAGTTTTTTATATCCTAACCTTCTCGGGCCGACAAACTTTGCCTGCTTTCAGCCGATGGTCAGGACAACTATAATATACTGTCTGTGCTGTCAAGATTGCTGTTGTTGCTGTGTACAACTGCAAATCCACATAGAATATTTTTCTTAAAGAATAATGGAAAATAGCATCAGAAGAAACAAGCAAAGGAAACAAAAGTTGACATACCAATGCCATATAAAATTGGGTTGGCAACTGCAATAACCAAAGTAGAATTCAGGAACACAAAGTATATGAAATAATTTATATAATTAAATCACATACCTAATCAAGTAATTTAAGCCATGGAGAGTAAAGGCCCTTCATGGCAATAATTTCGTAAGAATACATAAAAGAAGTAATAATAATCTCAAGAATAGATGACGCCAGAGTAATGGTTGGGGAACTCAGATGCAGTAAAAATGTAATCGCAAGCAAAATCATACTTAGAAGAAGCCATGTCATCGAGAGTAAAGGTTGGGGAACTCAACCCCCCTAAGAAAAACGTTTGACCTAACAACTTTTATATGATAAACTTCTCCAATTTCAACCAAATTTAAAAACCTAAGGAAACAGCAATGCATGCATGAAAATATAGCAAATTTAACCAAAAAGAGCTGGCAGAAGACTTTTGAGTTGCAACTGGATCTGTAAAACAATGGAAAAATGAAAACAAAAAAAAAAGTTACAAGGTGATGTATGAGAAAAGAATTCAAACCAACATGCAAGGCAATTTTAGTATACAAAGGCCACATCACCATAGAAAGTGTAACAATACGCTAGAACTCCTAAAAACATTAATATTACATAATTCTAGAGCTAAAAAATGGGACCTTAAGTAACATGATATGATAATAAATGCCCTAATAACCAAATCACTTTTATAACTCAGCAACAAATTCACCTAAATATGTATGAAAACCTTAGCAACCGCATGCATGCACACACATACACATATAGATGACAAACATAAAGCGCACACATATACATATAGATGAGAAAGTCAAAGGGCTCAGCCTTCTTAAACAGTAATACATTTAAAATATACCACATGCATATTTTCACATTGCCGCCAACTAAACAACATAAACTATAAGCACATGATAGCACAAAGAATAACTAATTTTGACAATTATTTTTGAAACTTACAGTTGCGGGCTCCAGGAGACAGCCGACAATGTTGAAAATATCCCTGAAGAAGATAAAAACTCAAGCATTAGAAAGCTTGGACATGAAATGCAGAAGCCTAAAATCAAATAGACATTAAAAGAAGCACCCAAGGCATCTAAAGATCTGGACATCCTAAAATAGAATCTAAATGAGCATAAGAGTGCAATGATTTGACAAACATCGTAATGGCATTACTGAACTACAATTTCCAACATTGTTGCAAAAATTTGAGCTTTCTTCCATGATAACATAGCACAACAAAAAGGGAATTAAGAATAAAGTTATTTATCAAAAATAAAAGAACATAGAAAAAATTGATAATTACCCAACAATCCATGCCATCAAGAAGCCAACAGAAAAGCCCTCAGTTGATTTCTCTCTATAAGTTGTGATAATCTGAGGTACTTCAGCAATTCCCCAACTAATCACACTAATCACTCCAAGAATAACAGCAATACTCTCCCTGGGGCTACATAAATGCCGTATCAATTGCGTATTCACCAACATGGATCCATATTGGTTTATGAAAGAAGAGAAACTCCCATGGGTAGGGTCCATCACAGACAGAAAAATTCCACCCTAAAACAGATCAGAGAATAATAAGCCATCACCTAAACGGAGTGACAATTAACAAGCATGCAAACCCCACTGTTCGAATCAAAAGCTAAGTTATGATGAGATATTGAGATATAATATAATATAATATGTAACAACAAGAGAACCTGATAAAAATTTTCTGGAAATACAAACTGTTATTTCTCCTTTCTTAAATTACCAGGCATGCACCAGTTTCCAAATGTGTTATTTTTCATGAAATTCTCCCTTTTATTTTATTATGAAATTACAAAAATACCACTTATTCCCTATGTATTCACATATCTAACACCTAAACTTTATTTTTTACATTTATATCACGCAAAATCATTCATATATAACCTCAAAAATACCAACATTCTAACTTTTAAAAGGTGAATACAAGCTTTCATGCATATACAAGGTGACATGTATGTAAAAAATTGAAGTTTTCGTGTCAGAAATTTAAATATATAGGAATTGAGTGGTATGTTTGTAAATGCATTGCTAGGCGACAAGAACAGAAATTCTTACCAACCAACATGCATATATATATATATATAGCAACTGGCAAAGCCGACTTTGAAATTCTTTTTAAACTAAAGATCAAAAACATCTCTTCTGCCGCGAAAATGCATTATGGCCCACGTGGGGAAAAAAAAAACAGAATAAATGGGAACACTCTGCACTTCATGGTTTGAGCAATTTTACAAATTGAAGTAATCCAAAAAACTGTTAAATTTAAAAATATTTAAAGATTACACCTATGCCCAAGGTAGATTTTAACCTTTCCGGTGACAGACTGAACAATAATGAATCTCTTGAATCCGAATAGTATCAGGATTTGAAAAATCCTATATTTAAGCAAACTATATCAAAAACTGCTAAATTCATAATTTATTTCGGGCGAAGAAGGTAAAGAAACTTGGCAAGAATTATGCTAAATGCTACTTGAACTGGCAAACCTAACAAAACTTCTTTATCAAGCACCCAAAACCTAGAGATGCAAGACATCACAGAAACTGGGGGAATATGCGGGCACAAATCTAGAGGGAGGTAAACCTTTGACCTGTCGGCCAAACAACCAACAAATTCCACGATAAAGAATCAAATAATTTAATGAAAATAACAGTCCTTCGAAATAGGCCCCATGTATAAATTGGAAAACGACGAACTAAAATTTACCTTTAAATGCGTTTATCAATGAGCACGTTAATACAAGCAAGCATCGACGAACAGATTCAAAGGACCTTTCTAGGGTTTTTCAGGCCGGAATGAACACATACGGGAATTTTTTTGAAGGAAAAATAGCACAATAGCACTAGAACGAAAACACAAAAAGGTAAAAATAGAAATTGAGCGCAATTATCGAAGAAGAAAGGAGAACTATGCATTGGATGAATTGGCTGGGTAAGATTTTCAGCTGAAATTTCGGGAGGTTTGGCGGAGTCGCCCAGCTAGAGATCACGTGACGAATTGGAACATTGCGCCATAAAGGAGGCATCTTTGCAAGGGATTTGGCGTAAATCCGATCGATGCTCATTGGGTTAATTCTGCGGTCGTCACCTTATTAAGCTTCGGAGCCTTAAATAGACAACAGTATTTACATATTTAACGCTCCTAATTTTATTTTATATATATAACGTTTTAATATTCAATATTATATAAAATATATTACTATTAATAATATTTTAAAATATATATATATAACTTTAACTTTATCGATCGTGTAGCTTTATAACTCTAAAGTATTTACATACATACCATCCAATATTTATGTTTTTGCATATTTAATAGTCTTTTTTTTATATATTTAGACCATCCAAATCTTTTATAATATATTAAAAATATCACAATTCTAACTTAAGAAAATAATATATATTTTTTCATAAATAAATAAGATGTGATGTATGTCAAAAGTGAAATATGTATCTAATACATAAGAATGGATCAGTGATTTGATTGTAAAAGCCTTCAAATATTATAAATGGAAGAAAGATCTACATGTGTGCTTCTGAATTATGACATATTTACATATCTAATATCTTAAATTTAATTTTTACGTACATATCATCTTAACTATATGTACACATAAAAATGTATCAGCACAAATCTTAAAGCTGATGGGCTGCTCAGAAGAAGATGCAGACGATTAAATGTAGACGTGGAAGACGATCGTTTCCAGGTGAATATTGGCAAAGAAACTTAGTTATCAAAATGATTGGCAGAAGACGTCAAGAGAAAATCTCATAGAGCGGTAATCAACTTTCAGGACGATCACGGGAAGTACTCTTTCGGACTATATGTGGACTGAATCAAGGTTTGTCAGGCGATCATCAACAATCATCAATCGAATTAATCTTTGATTTTATTATATGCAAACAACTATATAATTATTAAAAAGTTCACCTGAAAAGTTAATAATAAGGGGACTAATATGTACTTTTATAATATTGGGATTGAAGCCTATAAATAGGGGTAAAAAACATTTTTTTATCTATCTATTATTGTTCTCTCTCTCTTAATCATTTCCTAATAGCAAGTTCCATTGGGTGTGTTTCCAGGACATTTTCGGATCTAACATTCTTTAAGGCGAGGTGAGCATGGAAACAAGACGTCAACAAGAAGAGGAGTCCAGCAACAATGATAGGGAGTCTAGTCAGGAAACGAAGGAGAAGCAACACCTGAGAGTTCATGGAAGAATTCGTTCATCAATACCTACAAGATTTGAGAACTCAGATGACCAATCAGATGTCAGGATAGTTCACATAAGTCCTTAGAGCGGTTGTTGCCCAAAAAATAGCGCAAGTTCCAGGAGAAGAACTAGCGCGACAAGGAACACTCAACCCCCCTCATGGGGAACCTCCAGTCAACAATGGAAGGAGGGGAGTCCACCTGCAAGAAAAACTTGATGACGATCTATACCAAGACAACGCCAGATCAGTCCCCATAGAGGAGAGGAACTGGCCGGTGCGAATCAAGGAACAGAGGCAATCGAAGAATGCTTTCGCCCTGCAGGTCTCTGGAGTTGAACACCCAGAGAAGCTCAAGATATTGGTCTTAGAGACATATAAAGAATGGTCGGGTCCTAACGACCACCTCACGTAGTTCAAATCATTCATATGTCTGTTGAAAATTTATGACGTCCTAGAATGTAAGCTCTTCTTCACTACACTGAGCTTGACTACATTAAGATGATTCAACGGATTTCTAGTGGAGGTAATCACCTGTTTTGCAAAGTTCATAAGACTTTTCCTATCGCAGTTTGCTAGTGCCCTAAAGCCCTAAAAGAGCACCCTATCCTTGTGGCAGCTAAAGCAAGGGGCTAACGAAAACTTACGATCATTTATTGTGTGCTTCCAGAGCAAAATGGTAGATGTCAAGGACTTGAAGCCCGACATGACACAGGCAGAGCTAACGTAAGGAGTGAGGTTGGAGAGGTTTTGTTTCGACCTCAATCCCACAGAGCCACAATGTTTGGCCAAGCCCTTGGAAATGGCCAACAAATACATAGTCACCTAGGAGAAAACCTCTGATCGCATCAAACAGATATACCAAGTAAATCCACTACAAGATAGCAAAGGACAACCCAAGCAAAGCGCATAACCATTAAACCCACCCCGCTATGAGGATCACTCAGATAATCACTCCATCTAACATTGAAAGGACCAGAGGCGACGGACCAATGCTCAAAACCACCCATACCAGTGTGAACACCCCAGGTATAATCATCGGGTCCCTCAAAAAACCCCACTCAAAGTATCCATTGCAGAGATAGTGGACGACATCCAAGATAAGGAGTTATTCAAGAAAGAAACACTGATGAGGGTCGGGGATTTTCTTCACGATAGTAGAAAATATTGTAAGTACCACAGAGATCACGGACATGACACAAAAAAGTGAAAGTACCTGCGAAGCTTGATCGAGGAGCTGATAAAGGAGGAGAAGTTGAAAGAATTTATCGCTTCTGGAGCAACGAACTAAAGGCAAGGCAAGGCTTCCACGAGAGGAGCGACCGACAGGCCCATCCGCACAAACATCATTCATATTACGGGGTACATGCCCGCAATATTTAGAGGAAGAGAGCCACCTAGGAGGACAAGCTAGAAGAGACAAAAAATAAGGGAACTTTGTGTCTTCACCTTTGCCCCAAAACCCAAGAGTCATTTGCCTATCTATTTCACTTGCGAGGATCTTCCCCAAAAGGGAAACCTGTATAATGACACCATTGTAATAACTCTGATAAAAAACAATTATCGAGTAGAGAGTATTCTCACTAATACTAGGAGTTCTATGAATGTACTATTCAAATGGGCATTTACCTAACTCAGCCTCACTACTGATCGAATAACCGCTCCGGCCTATCCGTTCCCGGTAAGTTAGGGAAAAACAAAAAAACAATTTTCCTCACCGAAAATTTTCTAGTGGTGGATTCAGCCCCAAATTATAATGATATATTCGACCGACCGCTGCTGAACAATTTCAGAGTGGTAGTCTACATACCACGTCACTGTCAAGTTTTCTGGAGATTGAGAAATTATCACAATTAGGATTGATTTATATCAGTCCGGGTCAGCTACTTGCAGGCTATAAGTAACTTAGAGCAAGATCCCGTGGACATTCAAAATGTAAGGGAATGTGGCCTCGAGACCAGTGAGGCCATTCGCAAGATTTTATGGTTGAAGGAGAACCAGATAGATGTTTTATAATAATCAAAGCATTTGATGCGGGCCACAAAGAGTTGTTGTTCCAAACCCTTCAAGAAAACCAAGATGTTTTTGTGTGGATGTCCGCTGAGATGTCAAGTGTGTTAATCGATGTTGCATGTCACAAGTTTAACATTTACCCATCAACTCAACCCATGAAGCATAAGATCAGGAGTTCAACCATGACTTTGAAGGGACCAATCCGAAAGGAAGTACAAAAGTTGGAGGAGGTTAGTTACATTCGGGAAGTATAATTCCCCACCTAGGTCTCCAACGTAGTTATGGTTCAGAAGGCCAATAAAAAGTAGATAATGTATGTGTATTTCACCAACCTGAACTTTTCTTGTCCAAAAGACTCTTATCCCCTACTGAGAATCAATGCTCTGGTGGATTCGAGGGTCGATCACTTAGTCTTGAGTTTCCTTGATGTACTTTACAAGTACTATCAGATCAAGATGCACCCAACTACCACAGAGAAAACTAATTTTATTACTGTGGGGAGTTTTTTGATATAATGTAATACTCTTTGGGCTTAAAATGTCAAGGTGACTTACCAACACCTCGTGGATATAATCTTTGCTAATTAAAAAAGGAAGAAACATTGAGGCTTATGTTGATGATATATTGGTTAAGAGTCAATCGGCCAAACAACACATTGAGAATTTAAAAGAAGCCTTCCTAACACTTAAAAAGTTTAACATGAAACTAAACCCACTGAAGTGCACCTTTAGAGCCGCGACAGAAAAATTCCTGGGGTATTTTCTAACCCATAAAGGCATAAATCTAACCAATAAAATATCCAAGAACTCCTTGATATGAACCCCCTAAAAACACCAAGGAAATCCAGAAGCTAATCGTCATATCGCAAGTTTGAGCAGGTTCATCTTCAAGTCAGGTGATAAGTGCCCCCTTTTCTTTAAAGTACTCAAGAGAGCCACATGCTTCGAATGGACACCAGAATGCAAAGAGGCCTTTAGAAAACCTCAAATAGATCCTCACCTCTCCTCCCTTCTTTCAGAGCTAGAAGTCGAAGGAAAAGCATTATCTTTACCTTGGAGTCGACCCTGAAGCCTTTAGTTCAGCCTTAGTCAGAGAAGAACTTGGAAAGCAACACCAAGTGTACTATAACAGCCGAGTTCTCAAAGACATTAAACTTCGATATCGAATAATAAAGAAACTGACTTTCGGCTTGGTCACTTCAGCACAGAGGCTCTGACCATATTTCCAGGTACTCCCCATACAAGTTACCACGGATCACCTACTAAATATGTTCTTACCAGGCCAAAACATTCCAACCGACTAATAAAATTGGTCGTGGAACTCAACAAATTTTATATTTCCAATATCCCTCGAATGAAAACAAAAGCACAAGTTGTTGCAGATTTATCTGAACCTGAAGGGGCAAAAAGGATCTAGCGATCAATGGATTTACCCGGACCCTTTTTACCGATGGGGCATCCGACCAATCACGTGCTAGACTTGGAATTTTCTTGTGTAGCCCCGCTGAGGAAAATGTCTTTCACTCAATCAATATAAATTTTCCATTAAATAACAACCAAGTGGAATATGAGGTTTTGATTGCAGGATTTTTCCTAGCCTCGGAGGTAGGACTCCTTCACGTAATGATAAAGGACAATTTATAACTCATAGTGAGTCAGATCAACGGGGAATGTGAAACTAGAAACGAAACTATGTCGAAGTACCTAGGTAAGGTGAAGATGGAGATCAATCCTACTAGCTTCATAATTGACATCCGAAGGGAGGAAA